TTCACAGTAGCGCAGCACATTTTACTCTCCTTACTCCCTCATTCCTCCGCCCACGCACGCTACAGCGGCGGATGAGCGGAGGAGAGGAATCTGCGCTGTTGACTCCAGCTGCACAGCTTCATCCACCTCTGAGAAAATCATCTAACCTTACGATGACCTGCAGAAGTGATCAGCTGACCAACACCTGCAACCTCTGTGAAACAAAGTTTCCTCATTCTGGTTAAAGTGGACGTTTTTGTTCATTTTCTGTCGTACACATACACATTTATAAACTGTGACAGCTGTGGAATTTTTTAATGAGCCCTGTGAGCCAAACCCTTCTTTTTCCTCGTTGGATTTGGATGATGTCAGAGAGAAAGGATATCCTTTATATAGAAGCTCCACCCACCTGCCTTTCAAACCATCTGCCCGTCTATTGTCATTGTACATGTACAACGAAATTGCGAGGGACAGCCAATCACAAAAGAGCTAAACAAGACGGTGGTCTTTCAGGACGAGGCGCTAAAAGGAAGTGGATGATTGTTAAACTCAGCTCTCTTCCTCAGTGTGTCTATTGTCCTGTCCCTCATCTCCCCTCCCCTCACCCTAAACAGTTGCAGCAGATGGCCCCGCCCCTCCCTGAGCCTGTTAAAATGGAGTTTTTCCTTCCCACAGTCACCGAATGCTTGCTCATAGGGAGTTTTGATTGCTGAGGTTTTGTAGGGCCTGTTGTTGTGATTTGGCACTATGTACATAAAATTGAACTGACCAACTGAGCTAACTGGCCAATGAAAACAACACTTTCCACCATGTTTACCAGTTTAAGCATCGAGGAAGCGGACACATGCAAATCACATATGAAGGACGAGGATTTGTTGACTTTACTTTCAGGAGGTGGGGGAGGGAAGTCTTCCATGTCCATGCTTGCTGCTCTTCTCCTGCTAAAGCTCTTCAGACATCAGCACGCAGAGGCTCAGTTACACCAACGCACATTCCTACAGGAGGAAAGGACAAATGTCATTACAGTCAGTTTAAGGACGCTCATGCAACAGAAAAAAGAGACTGAGTTTGGCATTTCTAGGTCAGCATATGTGAGCCAGTCGGTCCACAAAAGACCAACCACTTGTTATTCAATGTTACTTAATCAAAGTGGCAGACAGCAGCGTGGCTGTGTTGTCCCGGTCTGCTACCTTTTGTATCAACATCTGATTCTGAACCAAAGCGAATTCAGACAAACGAAGAGTGAGTGAAAACAAAGGAAACACTTGTAAAGCTCCCGGGGAGAGCTGATGCCGGCGTGTGTTTACGTGTGCCCGACATTCTCATATGCTAATGCTGCGTGTGTGTGTGCGCATGCCATGGTATACACAGCCTGTGCTACCATTGTAATGGACACATCACACCCCGCTGCGTGTCCACGAGGAAAACAGAGGCTGTGGAGCTTTGCAGCTAAAGCAAAGTTCATGCAAAGCAGGATTCAGCTTAGATTTGAACTCATTTCTTTGGTTTCAAATTAGGGCTGCCACAAACAATTATTTTTACGATTAGTCGACTAATCAGATCATCATCCATTGGACGTAAA